GTAAAACACAATATTTGATAAAGAACTAGTTTCCAAAATATATTTTAAAAACCTCTTAAATTTCAAAAACCTAACGAAAAAATGAGCAAGAGATCGGGACACTTCATCAAAAAAGACAGAGAGATGGCAGATAAACATATGAAAAGATGCTAAACATATGAAAAGATGCTGAACATATGTCTTTAGGGAACTGCAAATTAAAACAACAATGTGATAATATCGCACACCTATTAGAGTGACCAAAATCCAAAACACTGACACCACCAAATTCTGGTGAGGATGTGGAACAAAAGAAACTCTCATTCATGCTGGTGGCGATGCAAACTGGTGCAGCCACTTTGGAAGACAATTTGGCAGTTTCTTATAAAGCTAAACATACTCTTACCATATGATCCAACTATCACACTCCTTGGTATTTACACAAATGAGTTAAAAACTTCTGTCCACATAAACCTGCACACAAATGTTTATAGCAGCTATTTTTGATAATTGCCAAAACTTGACGGTAACCAAGATTTCCTTCAACAGGTGAATGGATAAACAATCTGGTAGATGCAGACAATGGAATATTATTCAATACTAAAAAGAAATGAACTGTTATGCTATGAAACGACATGGAGTAACCTAAGTGAAAAATCCAACCTGAAAAGGTTACATACTGTATGATTCCAACTATACGACATTCTGAAAAAGGCAAAACTATGAAGACAGTGAAAAGATCAGTGGTTGCCAACAATTTAGAGGAAGGGAGGGAGGGATGAATAGGTGGAACATACGGTATTTTTAGGGCATTGAAAGTATTCTGATGACACTGTCACATATAACATTATATATATATTACATATTTGTCAAAACCCATTCTAGGTATGCATTACTGCACTTTCTGCACTTACATTAGGTTCACAAAGAATGAACCTAATGTAAACTATGGACCTTTAGTAACGATGCACCAATACTGGCTCATCAACTGTAACAAATGCACCACACTAATGCAAGATGTTAATAGGGGAAACTGTGTGTTGGGAGGGGTGGGGACAAGGGACTATACAGGAACTCTCTGTACTTTCCGCTCAATTTCTCTGTAAACATAAAACTCCTTGAAAAAACAAAATCTATTAATTTTTTAAGGTGCAAAGCATTTCAATAGGCATCTTTCCAAATAAGATATACAAGTGGCCAATAAGCACATGAAAAGATGCTCAACCTTAGGAGCTACTAGGGAAATACAAATAAAAACCACGAGATAGCACTTCACAAACACTAGGCTGGCTATAATCAACGAGAGACAATAACAAGCAAAAGATTGGATTCCATCATTTTTGGCCATGCTTCACGGCTTGTGGGACCTTAGTTCCCTGACCAGGGATTGAACTCTGGCCATGGCAGTGAAAGCGCCGAGTCCTAACCACTGGACCGCCAGGGAATTCCCTGGATTCCATCTTGGGTTGTTGGTGGAAACATGAAATGGTACATGTACTATGGAAAACAGTTTGGTAGTTCATCAAAAAGTTGAACACAGGGACTTCCCTGGTGGTCCAGTGGTTAAGATTCTGTGCTTCCACTGCAGGGGGCATGTGTTTGAACCCTGGTTGGGGAACTAAGATTCCGCATGCCACAAGGCATGGCCAAAAATTTAATTAAAAAAAAAAAAGTTAAACACAGAGTTTCCATACGACCCAACAATTCCACTCCTAGGTATGTATATTCAAGAAAGGTAAACAGTCACAGAAGATTTATATATGAATGTTCACAGCAGCATATTCATAACAGCCAAAGAGTAGACACAACCCAAATGTCTATCAACTGATGAACTGATAAACAAAATGTGGTATATCCATTCAATGAAGTATTATTCAGCCATAAAAAGGAATGGTACAACACACTTGAGCCTTGAAAAAATTATGCTAAATGAAAGAAGTCAGTTACAAGAGGCCATATACTGTATGATTCAATTTACATGAAATGTCCAAAATAGGCAAATACAGACAGACAGAAAGTAGAAAGTAGATTACTGGTTGCCAGGGACTATGAGTAATTGGGAATGACTGCTAACGGATATGGGGCTTCTTTTAGGGGTGATGAAACCATTCTGGAATTAGGTAGTAGTGATGATTGTATAATCTTGTGATTATACTCAAAACCACTGAGTGGTATATTTTAAAATGATAAATTTTATGGTAAATGAATTATATCTTTTTTTTAAAGATTTTTTTGATGTGGAACATTTTTCTCTTTTATAAGTCTTTATTAAACTTGTTACAACATTGCTTCTGTTTTATGTTTTGGCCCCTTGGCCACGAGGCACGTGGGACCCCAGCTCCCTGACCAGGGAACAAACCCACACCCCCCGCATTGGAAGGCTAAGTGCAGCTTCCACTGGACTGCCAAGGAAGTCCCTGTGAATTATACCTCTATTTTTAAAATACGTAAAAGGATTTCTGGCCAGTTCTGGGCAGTTTTGCTTCCTTTTATCCCCTTAGTTCATTGTGTAATTAAATAAGATTGACGATCCTTTTCAGGGTATGTGGTCTGTTTTATAGTTTACTGAGAAATGATCCATTTACACAAGCAGTAATAAATTGATTTCAGGGGAGAAAATGATTTAGCAAAGAATATACGGGAGGATTGATCCTCTCATCTCTCATTAGGGTATAAGCTCTTGAGAGCTGGTATGCTTACACAATGACTGATTAGGAAAACAGTACCCATTATTTTATGAACAAGCCTTGAATAAGTGGCAAGTCCTCTGAGGTGGTAGTGGGTCATACAGTAACTTTTAAGCAAAAAGAGGCAAGGAAATTATTTGGATAAACCTCTGAGAGTCAACTTCATCTTTTAAGAGTTCAGCAGTACCTTCTTGAAAGATCAATCCCCTCAGTGCTGCGTCTCCCAGAGTGACTGGACTGGGTGTCAGTCTCCATGTTTGGGACATAACTTAACTATCCACTATACATTTAATAACTTTTGCAGAGGCCAAGGACAACATGGAAATAAACAGATTTTTTTTTTCTTTTTAAAGAATAAAACAGTCACCTGGTCAAAAACTGAAGCCATACAGAAGGACATAAAATGAAAAACAAGTCTCATAGACTCCCAGCTCTCCTTTCCAGATATGATCCTGGTTAAGTTTCTGTATAAATTACAACCTTTTATTTCTGAAATGTTGATTACTAATGCTATGGGAATATTACAAAGACCATATTTCTTATAAAGGTTAAGTCTCCTAGAGCCTGTCTGACTTAATCAGAAACTTAATCAGAGGCTAAATTCAGGTCCCAAAAAAAGAAACTTAAAATTTTCTTGAAATCCAACACAAAATTTAGATCTAAATAGATTCAACTTAAGAAAAAAATTAAAATTAAAAAAATACATATATATGTTAGCTTTTAAGTCAGATTTCATTTCATTTCTTCCTATCCATGGCGAAACAAACTCTTCAAAGATTTATAAAAATAGCACAAGTTGGCAGTCACCTGCAAACAATTTATTATTAACTAATTAAGCCCTAAATCCATGAAGAAAAAGCACCTAACACACTCAAGGTCAAAATGCAACAAAAATAATACAAGCACATGCATGCCTTGACAAATCAACAGCTCCTGGTAAAATTCCTGATACTCAAAAGAGAGATTTAAAAATAAATGCCCTGGGCCTTTATCACCTTCTGAGATGACCCATACTCTGTGGAGTGTGTTTCTCTCTAAATAAATCCACTTCTTACCTATCACTTTGTCTCTCACTGAATTCTTTCTGCAATGAAAAATAAAAATAAAAATATAAATGCCCTGTACGTGTATGGCTGATTCATTTTGTTGTGCAGTGGAGGCTAACACAACATTGTAAAGCAAACATACTCCAATAAAAATTAATTTAAAAAATATAAAATAAAAAATAAATGCCCTGTTAATTTCAATGTTGCCTGTAAGCAGATCTCAACTGATCTTTAGATGATAAGGTTAAGATGAACATAACTGCCTATTGGCAGGGGTGGTGGGGAGGCTGAAATAACCTGGGAATTCCAAGGGGTGGGAAGTAATCCAATTAACAGAAGCACTGAAAATGTGATCTTACAACATGAGTACCAATTTGAAAAATTAATGTCTATGGGCATTTTCTTCCCCAAATAGGGAGCAGAGTGAATATGGGAAATTAATTTTTAACAATATTCCTAGGATCTAAGGCAACTACATGTCTGGGGCTACTAAACTCTCCAAAGCCTGAATATTAACAAGTTCTTCACATGGTAATTATTCTAATATTTTAAATTCAAAAACTGATGCAACAGTCAACAGATTCAAATTCTTATTAATTAACCTCTAGCTCTTCATATTCCATCCACAAAAAGAGCTACATAACTGTACCCTCTTCATTTCGGGGTTTTTTTTTGTTTCGAGCCACAATTTGCACCTTGTGGGATCTTAGTTCCTCGACCAGGGATTGAACCCATGCCCTCAGCAGTGAAAGTGCAGAGTCCTAACCACTGGAACCCCAGGGAATTGCCCTTTTTAAAAGATGCAAACAATTTGCCCATTGTGCAAATGAAGCTCACCTGGCTTCAACAGGCAGAGCCTGTCACAGGGCAGGAAACTGAAGGTATTCAGAAAGGCAGGTGACACGGTCATTCAGTCTGGAGTGCCTCTTTTCAACTGGAGTGAGCTGGTGCCCTACCATTTAAGACTAATTAGTGAGCTGTAAACAAAGCCCATGCCAGCAGAGGAAAGGGGCCTTTAGACCTAATGAAGAGTTGTCCAGGCGTTCTCTTATCTCTGCTGTTCTCAAGGAAAAGATTCCTCTAAGGTGAGCCCAGTTCAGTGGCTCATTTTAACTTAGAGCAACTATTTGCTGCTTCGGGAGTTTTTAGCCATCTAACAGGATTCTCGTAACTCAGCTCTCATCCTAGCAGCGCTCTGCATGCCTGCTTGGGAAGCTCCTGGGGAAGCAGATGAAATTAATTAGGATATGGCCCATCAAAGCCAGTGCAAGTATTTTACCAGCTGTGTACAGGGACCTTCCCACAACCATGGCAAAGGCCACAGAAGAAATATTTTTACACAGAGAGTTCCACAGTATTGTCCTCTTGGACTCACTCTTCCTCTCTTTAGCTCTCTGCCCTGACAACCTCAGCCTATCCACCATGTTTCTTCTTTCAGAAGCACAAGGATTTCTTTTTAGCTTGTTTTTGAGAAAGGCTTATTTTTGTGGTTTACCCAACTAACCAGGAAATCAGGCCTGTTGGGATAGAAGGTAAAACCAAATAAATAATCCTCTGAATGTCTGGGAAATGGTTGCTGGGCCTTTCAACTTCACGAGACACTTGGGCCAGTTGTGCTCTTCTATGCTGGGTCCTCTTCGTCCATTGTCACGTCATCGTTGGTATTTTGCTTCTGCTCAGCCTCTGGCCCCGCAGGGAGGATGCTTGTGACGGTGTGGAGCAGAGCTTCTATCTGCTCCTCTGTCAGCCGTTCTTCACTCTCCTCCACCATCTGCAGAAGGAAAGAAAACCCTCCAGGAGTTACAATGGGGCCTCACAGACAGGGCCCTGCCCATATTGTTCCTGGTCCCGGCCCAGCCCCTCAGCACAGAGCTCAGGCCCTAGCTCCTGAGCTGCCCCGGGTCTCTAGGTCCTTTCCATCTTGGCTCTACAGGCGAGAGAAGCCAGCTCAAATTCCAGGGTAAGCCGATGTGGCCGCTCCAAACGGGTCAGCGAAAAAAGCGAGTTGCAGGTTAGCATTTTTCCTTAAAAAGCAAAGCCTAACAGTTCTCTACTCACTCATACACACACACGCGCGCACACACACACACACACACACTCATACACACACACGAATATGCTGTTTATGCAAAGAAAACTCACCTCTGGGGAGAGAAATGGCATTTTATATACTTTTGTATATAACAACAAGCCCATCTGTAACTTATGAATAGTATCAACAACTCATTTGATGACTGCCCGCTATGTGCCAAATGGCCTGGGTATTTTTCTATTCCTCACTACTACCAACACTGACAAGACCCGTCAGGGAGCTCTCGTGCCTGGCACTGCGCCTTGCACTTCACACCCATTATTTCTTTTAAACCTCACAGCAAGTCCAGCAAAGGGCAGAACTACAATCCCAAGCCAGACCTGCCCATCTCTAACACCTACAATCTAACACACACACCGTGGCCTTGGTCATCTCCTGGGAATGCAGGAGTCTGATGAGTGATGGCTGGGAAACAATCTCCCACCACCCCATCAAAGGTCCACTTAGAGCCCAGTTTCTGACATGGTCCTGGATATCTGAACACACAGATGATACCCACAATTTGTAGCCTCACCTCTAATTCTCAATATGTTAATTAATACAAACATGATGTCATCAACCACCTCTGTAAAAGCAGTATGCAGGCGGTCAAGTTACTTAACCACGCTCACTTGGTGGCGTTAGCCATCTATCACAAATAGCTTTCTCAGTTAAAGGTGTCCAGGGTCCTACCCTGTGGCATAACAATCTCTGAAATCTGGCAACTAAGACCAAAAGGAGTTTCAGAAAGAAATCCTGGCAGATTTGAGTAAAGCATGATGACAAGCTTGGCTCACAATCCTCAAAAGGACTTCAGTCTGACTGCCTAGCTTCACAAACAACAGTACAGAATCTAAAGAAGCCAGGTGACATGCCCAAGATCAAAGTCCTGGCAAACCACTGGTCTCTTCATTCACCTCAGTCCAAAAATGTTTCCACAACTAGAGAATAATCCTGGGTGCTCTAGAGTAAAGATCCAGGTGAACCAATGGGGCTTCTTCCCATCACACTGTGAAATAAAATGACCATATTCTAAAGATTCAAAGGTTCCATGTAACTTCTCTACTGAACAAGAAACAATCCTCAAAAGCCCACTTTTAGCATCAGCCATGTAAAATTACGGTCTGTAAAAGGAAATACTCTAACATACACCGCCTCCAAAAAATGAAGGAGGAGGAAGGAGGGATATATCTGACTTGATAACTTAATCTTGAGGAAAAAATGATCTCTATTTGGGAGAAAAGTGTCTCCAAGTTTATGAATAACTGGCACACACAGTTGATGATGAACTGTTTCCTCAGGGGAAGAGGGTGAAGGAGACTTAGACTGCTGTTAGACCAGTGACAACCTCCCTCCATTATCTGTGCTCCACAGTGGACCAGGGGTTTTCCTACAATCACTGCCACCAGAGCTTCTCTTCTCAATGATGCTGTACATAAAATGAGGACAATTTACAGACAAGTACATGGAGCCTCCGCATCACAAGGAAAACGTGATCTGTATCTCACAGCAAGCAGTGCAAGGTCTTTTGAGACTTTGAGTCCCAGCTCCTTCTAGAATACCACGGCCTCAAGTAAGAAGTTTCTATCATTTCCTCTCTTAGAGACATTGTATGGCACACCAGAGTCCACTGGTTTGAAAGTTTGGTTGTATGACCTCTGAGGGCTCTTTTTAGAAAACCAAACAGAGAGGATTTTGACAGGCCACCTTCTTGCATCCCAATCTCTGGGTCTGACAGATCCAGTTTCAGCTAGGTGTGTTCTTAGCAACAGGGCTGACAAGCTTTACTAGTTTTGCCAAATTTGCCCGAGAGCAGAAGCTTTTATCAGCAAACAACCCTCAGGGATAATTAGAGTCGGGAAATTTTCTTTCCCAGTCACAGGAAGAAAACCTGAGCTGTACTAAGCAGAATGAAATATACACAAAAAAGAAAACTGCAGAAACCAAAAACTTACTAACCCCTCTTGGATCGCTAGAGTAAATAATAACTATATTATTCCTCAGCTTTTCTTTCCAACACAGAAGAAACAGAGCCCAAATAAAGAAATGCAAAGCACCGTCTCAACGTTCCCAAACATTAAAGGGTTCAAGTTGCTCTGAATGTAAGGGCAAATGAAATGTAAAAATACAAAGTTTTTGTAGGCAGGTCAACATAAATGATAAATTTTTTATCATAGATGAAGACCACACTGGTTATCAGGCTGTCAGCCTGGGCTGCTGCATTCCAAAAATGGTTGCTTCTCACTCTAAGCTGCCAGGCCTAACCTCCTACTTTCCTCAAAACAACGCAAAGTCTAACAGCAGCAGACACTTCTAGCTATATGACCCAGGACGGTTCACTTAACCTCTATATAGTTTGAGTTTTTCTAAAGTAAAACAAAAGTAACGCCTACAGTAAGGACCAAAGGAGAACATAATTTAAGCCATGGAACTATGTAATTCAAGCCTTTTTACAATCACTAAACTACAATAGGCACAGATGGTAGTGCCGTTCAGGACAGTGGCCTGTGAGGTCAGGGGGTTCACGGTCCTGTCTTTAGGCCAGAGGACTCACAAATGGTCCCAAATGAATATATAGCAGGGCATGGCAGAGGTCACAGAGCTGGTGGCTTCCTCATTTCCTCACATACAGCAGGCAGCTGGCTGTGGATCTGAGGATCACAACAAATCATGGCTGAAGTTGAAATGAAAAAAAGAAGCTTCAGTCTCCAAAAGTGAATCCTGACAAATGCTGAATATTGGGATTACTTCTGGACCCAGGGAGAATAAGTGGCTGTAAGGTTAACACAGGGAAATTCTCAAGTCCTCTGCACTTTCCACTCTAGGGAAAACCTCATTTATTATCCCTTTCTGGTGAGAAGAGACACTGCTACAAATCTTGGTAAATGATTTGCTAACCCTTTGTAGCCAAATCCCAGGGTAGGAAAAATCTGGCCAAAAAACAGTCCCACTGCTGGGAAATAACACACCCAGTTTTTAACAAGGCCTATCTACCTGTGGAAAGGAGGGGATGCCACACACACACCTTTCTCCTCACCATGTAGAAGCACATGGCTTGGAGGAACAGAGTAAGGTTTCCGAATCAGACCCACTCAGCCACTCACTAACCAAGACTATGGTGAGGGCATTAAAGGTGACATATACAAAGCCCCTGGCACCAAGTCTGGCATAGAGCAGGCAATCTTAATAGCAGCTCATCTTATCAGGTAATGAGAGCTTTCTACAGGCTCTGGGATGAGGTCATGCTAATCCTCCTCATCTCTTCTCTCCATCTGTCATTAAGCCATGAATAACATATGTTGCTGATTAAAGTTGGAGGAGACATGACATGTGATCCTTAAACCAGAAGGACAGGGATTAGTTTCTTGCTGTTTTGTTTTTTCTCTTTTCTAAGCTGAATCTCAAACATAGTTGAAAGCATCAGAATAATGAGGATATAAAAAAAAAAAGGATCTCTGCTTAGCCTGAAGCCCAGTTCCCCCAGAAAGGTACCCTTTATAGAAGGAATTCTTCTAATTTAATTTTGGGTGCATTCTGAAGGGGAGAAACAAAATGCTGAGAAGACAGTAAAAGTTTTAGTCAAAAATTAAATACCCCACAATCCTTTTTTAAAAAGGTTTTTTTGTTTTGTTTTGTTTTTAAGCAACTCTAAATATCAGAGGTATTTTTGGCCATTTTCTTCTACATTTTTCTGAAGGAAACTTGACAAAGAGCTAAATACTTCTAAAACTGACTTTGAAAACTGCTTTATTCTCATTTTATTAATTCTTCAGCCAAACTTTTCTTTGACTCGCAGTTGAATGGCCTGCCTAATATTTGGAGCTTAACAGTGCTCTCTGCCCTGTACACGGAAGGAAAGCGCGGCACATGCCAGTACAGCAACCACTGGGTCTGCACCACTGGGCCTCATCTTCACACTCTCTTTATACCATCTCCACCTTTTACTCTGGCTTCCCCAATTCTAAAGCTTTATGCTGTTTGCACGTGTTGAGGTTCCACTGAATGGTTTCATGCGGGGAAACAAGATGATCAAATGTGTGGCTTTAGAAAGTGAACTCTGATCGTGGTGTAGAAGATGGACAGGAGGGGGCTGGACTGGAGGCAGGGAGAATGGTGAGAGGACAGGTGCAAGAGCCGAGCTGAGAAACAATTACAGGAATTAATGCAGTGCAGTATGGAGAGAAGAAAGAACAAGAGGAGGGAGAAGCAAGAGAACCTGGGACTGACTGACTAACTGGGAGATAAAGGGAAGGGAATGACTTCTGGGCTTCTAGCTTGGGACACTGGACCAGGAGGGTAAGAGAGAGCGAGCATGCGGGAAAGTGCACATGCACTCCATTAACCAAGAGAAGATACAGGAAAAGGAGGTTAAAGGGTGGGAGTGGGGGGAGATAAACACCAGAGTCATGTCGAATCTAATGTTTTTACCTGGTTGGCAATAACCTCTACAGGGAAGCAATGGCCAGAATAGTGTAGGACATCGGGGAGACAAAGAGCTGCCAAGTCATAGCCCCAGACCCGACAGAAGGAATTGAATTTTCTCCAGTCTTTCCCTTTCCCGAAGTCCATACTAACTAGCATCAAATTGGTGAGGTTTCTTTTCACTTACAGAATGGGTGGTCTGGCAGTCTTTTCAAGTAATGGCAGTTCCTGGCTTGTCTGAGCTCAGCCTTTAGGACCCTTTCTACATCTCAGACCCAGAAACTAAGCTGCCCAAATTCAAGCCTCCTTCACTCACCAGCTGGATCTCAACAGCAGTCACTGGCCTGTGATTCAACAGCTGAAGCTTTTCAGCTCTGTCAAAAGAAAAGTACAGAGCATTTAAAACTCTCATACCCCTAAGGATTTTGAGTCTTGACCAAGCTGTTTAGAGAACACTTTGTCAGATAACAAATAGAAGAACAACTTGGAACATGGCCCTCAGTTTCTTCAACTGTAAAACAAAAGAATGGGAGTAAGAGAGTCCTATATCAGTGACTCTTACTCAAGGGCACAAATGTGTATTAGAATCCTAATGGTACAGAGGCTTGGATTACAAGAAATGCATCGATAGCAGATAGCACAGGTGTAGTTTTAATAAATTTTATTTGGAAAATGTGAATAATGCTTTCTTAGTCCAAATTATAGAAAGTAAAAGATTGACAAAATCATCTTGGTTGGTCATCACTTAGAAATGGTTGAGAATTCCGTTTTGAGATTAAGATTAAATGTTATTCAGACTTGGCCTGTTATCTTAGTAAACAAAAACAAGGACTCTAAGGGGACAGGAGTTAATACACAGTAGTATAAGACACAGTCTTCTGCCCTCAAAGAGCTTACAATCCAGTTGGGGAAAGAAGACAAATACAAGGAAATTTCAACAAAAGGTTTAAGTAACAGTGAAGATACTCGTTATCATCTGTCACAATTTACAGCTCCTTGCTGAAGGGGTGGTTGAAATGTGTGGACTCTCAAAGATGACAGGACTTGAAAGAAAGTGGCTTCAATTACCACCCTTGTGCAGGTGACAATTTCTACATTTCTCTCTCAATCTGACTCTGGAGCTCCAGCTTCATCTTTCTTTCTTTCTTTTTTTAAAAATTTATTTATTTATTTGTTTGTTTGTTTGCACCAGGTCTTAGTTGCAGCAGGCAGGCTCCTTAGTTGTGGCATGTGAACTCTTAGTTGCGGTACTCATGTGCGATCTAGTTCCCTGACCATGGAACAAACCCAGGCCCCCTGCACTGGGAGCACAGAGTCTTACCCACTGCACCACCAGGGAAGTCCCTCCAACTTCATCTTTCAATTCAATAAACAATTCTGGAATAAAGTGATGAATAAGCCACAATTTCCACAGCCAGGTGTTTGGGGAAGCAGTACCAGATACCCAATTCTCCCTAAGCCTTGGTTTCACCACCTGTCAAACAGGAATGACAACAATACTTACTGATCTCATAAGGAGATTATGAGGGATGAAAATCTTACCATTTATAGCAGGAGCAGCTACCATTTACTGCATACCTTCCATATAGCAAGCACATTTAACCCTCAAACTTGACATTGAGATGGTAAAGAAATACTTTGTCCAAGGTTACACAGCTAGTAAATGGCAGAGCTGGGACTCTGCGATGAAAGCCCATGTCCATAACCATTCATAGTGTTCATAATGACGACCCACACAGTAATTTCCCCGTAAACGGTAGTCACAGTAAAAAGGCGGCTGTAGTTAAACTCCACTCCTCACAGTTCCCCAAACATTCACTCTAGACTTCAGAGAGGAGACGACTCTTGCACTGCGCCCTTAAGGATTTTCTAGGCAAAAAGGAAAAGAGGAATGGGCGGTCAGGGAAGGAAGAGTACAAGTAAACACCCAGAAGAACAAAAATTCATGGAGTTTCAGGAAATGGCTGCTAGAGAGGCTGTGGGACACAGGTTGAAAGAGCCATCTGGGACAAGGTCACAAAGGCCTGACTACCAACAGGCCAGATGTTACTCTGTAGACACTGGAGAGCAACTGAAGGAAGGAGTGACTTGCTGGGTCTAGAACACCTGAGAAAATGGAGGCAGAGACACTGTAATACTCAAAAGTTGTGAACCTGGGCAGCAGTAGCAGCAGCAGCAGGAAAGGAAATGAGAGTCTGGACCTGTGAAATGCTCCTGGTCACCTTCAGGTACAGTCAACAGGACCTGACAACTGCCTAGGTTGGGTCGGGGGGTGGGGTGAAGGAAATGCGAGAGTTAAGCCTTACTGTCAGATGTTTAGCCTGTTTGGAAAAAATGTATTAATTGAAAATTTGAATTTGAGTTTGTGGTACTTTTGGAACCACAATGAAGAGGTCTCAGTCGAACAGCCTGTCTAGTTTTAGTTCTAGTTTGGTCTAGAACTAAAGAAAAAGATCAGAGCTGGCTTTATTATCAAGGAGTTATGTGAAACCACGAGAGTGGAAATCGTAGTCCAGAGACCAGCTGCTGAGTAAATGAAGACCCAGACAGAACACCATAAAACACCTCCATTCAAGGGGCCGGGAGAGAAATCAGCAAAGGAGCAAGGAGTGAAAAGAGAAAAAGAAAACTTAGGAGAGTGGTGTGATGGAAACCAAGAGAGGAAAAGTTCAGGACAGAGGGTATTATCAACAATGTCAAATGCTGAAGAGAGGAAAGTAGGTTGATGGCACAGAAGTCACTGGATTTGCCAAAAAGGAGGGCACTGGTGGCCTGGGCAAGTAGTTCAGTGGAATAACAGTTACGGTGACAACTGGAGTGTGGGGACTGGGGAATAACTGTGGAGGAAATACCTCTTTTTTTCCTTTGTAATTCAATTATCATCACTTTATTCAAATCTTCAAAACAGTCTTTATTCTACATTTTTAGTATAAAAAACCCATAAGACAGATGCACCACAGTGCAGCTAAAGACATACAACACTGAACTTCCACAACAAACGTAACATGTAGAGAACACAAAATTTAGGTGAAATGAAATTATAAGATAAAATAAAATCCAATTTCAGAAAACAAAAATCAAAAGATTAAGGATCCCGAAATATTCTTAGCCCTAGTGAGATTTCACTGGACTCAAGTCATTTTGGAGTGAGACATTCACAATATGACCCCATTAACCCAGCTTAGGAATTCTTGGGAGCCATGAGTGGCCACATCAGGCACTCTGACAATAAATTGTAACCAATTTGTGATCTGAAAACTCCCCTTAATTTGGCTCTATAGTCATCAGGGCTTTTCAAAGGCATCCTCCTTGTTGCCCCTCTTATTTTAAACTGTTTCAGTACAGTTTGTATTGATATGCTTTGATATCAGGAAAAGTTGTTTTTCTGGCAACAAAGCAAATTTGGGTTTGGTTCATGTATAAAGAGATGATCTTTAAGGCGGGTCCAAAGGCACTCTCCACTTCTGCCTAAGGAGATCCAAAGTGGAAATAAAGGGGTCTGTGCTTAGGGCACAGAGGGAGTCTCAGAGGATCCTTGTAAAAGACTAGTTAAAAGATGACAAGTGGGGGCTTCCCTGGTGGCGCAGTGGTTGAGAGTCCGCCTACCGATGCAGGGGACACGGGTTCGTGCCCGGTTCCAGGAAGATCCCATGTGCCGCGGAGCGGCTGGGCCCGTGAGCCATGGCTGCTGGGCCTGCGCGTCCGGAGCCTGTGCTCCACAGCGGGAGAGGCCACAGCAGTGAAAGGCCCGTGTACCGCAAAAAAAAAAAAAAATATATATATATATATACACACACACACACGACAAGTGGGAGAAGTGCAAGGAGAGAAGGAAATGGGTCTGACTGCTTTCTGTCCTGCACCACTGATTCAATGGAGACTGGTGGGAGGGATGGAAGACTAGGGTAAAGGGTGGGATTAGAGCAAAGGGTGGAAAGGAAAAGGCAGACAACCAATGTGTTTCATTTATAACAAGTAATAAAAATCAAAGAATTACAGGAGATTAAAGACCAATCAGAATAATCTGGCAACTTTAATCAGAAGATCAAAGTTCTCTCCAAACCTAATTTCATGTTTTATTACTAAAAGCAAAGACCAGTATGGTACAGTATTACTCCAGAGAAACTAAAGGAAGGTCCCTAGGGCTGCTTCACTCACATTCATTTTATGAATGGATACACCCCCCTACATCAAAATGCTTCAGGGCGGTAATGCTACTACTATATATATGGTTTCTTATTAAGTTTGAAAAGTGATTGAAAGTTTGGGCACCAGAAAGACACCTCAACAACATGTGTCTAAACCGCAACTTCAGGTTAATGTGACTAAAGCAGTTATATTGTGAGAAGCTATGTGATGTCTTTCCTGGCACAGAGGTGGCCTTGGTTCCTCACCGGATGGTGTAGTCACCATCTGAGCCACCCATGGAGAAGTTTCTCTTCCACTGAGTTACAAGGACATGGGCTCCCTGCATGACTGCAAGCTGCGCAGTGGGAGGATACCCGGTGCTGTAGGAGGAACCATGCCAGCAGTAGCCTCAGCTCCAAATCTGGAACCTTCATCACACACTCCTCCCACCGGCACTGTTGAACCACCTGGAGATGGGACCAACCAGATACTAAGCCATGGGGACTCTGTAACCTAAAAGGCCAACGGCCACAGACTAGGCCGTGGGAAGATACCGTGAGGTGCCAGGAAAAGCAGCTGACACGGTGGGGACTGTGGCAGCCCCCGAGTGCACAAAGCTCGGATGGCAGACCTCTGAGCAGGCAGGTGAAGCATCAGTACAGGGTGGAACCTGAGGAAGATGCAAGGTCTGAGAGTACACCGGATTCCCAGGAGGCTGCGCAGGGTAGGCTGGCTGTGGTGGATACTGACCCCTGCCGTTCACGGAGGCTGTGGGTCTGGTTCAGCTCAGTGTAATGGACAGAAATGAGCTCTTGACAGGATAGAAGTAAAAAAGCAATTATGGCCTGAGGAGGGCAGGTTCTGAAGGGAAACTGAAGCATGTTTGTCGGCTAAGAACACAAGCAGGTGGAGAGGCTGAAATAACAGGAGAGAAAAGAAAAGACCCTCAAAAAAAACAAAAGTTCAAAGTTTCCATGAAAAGGCTCATGTTTCACTGAGATCACAGCAATGGGGAAAGAAAAAGCAAATTTTAGGAGATGTGAAGGGAAATGAGTTCATTTTGGATAGTTTTCTCAGTGAAGCAAAAGTGAGGTCACCATCTGAGAGGTCTGGACGTGAAGAGGGTTAACAGGACTAAAAGCTGCAGAGAATCGAGTAAGGAGACTAGGAATAAGACTAGGAATAAGCAAGCAGCTTTGAAGGACCAGCTGAGTTTGAAAATATGAATCCTCACTCAAAACAAAAT